TCGTCAACTTAAATACAAACAATTACAAACTTGTATAGAACTCACGTACTTCTTAATTAGGATAATTTTAAAATTCGAACTGGGCCCGGCTGTGCTGTGCACAGCCGAGAACAAACCAGTAGGTTTATATGTTGCTTATTAATCTGAATAATAGATAATTGAATTTCTTGCAATTCTCTTTTCGTGGCCATGGATGAATACGAAAATCTGGGTGGATATACTGTTTTTTTGGAGATGTCATATCTTTTTTTTAAAAAAAAAAGTATGTAACAGTTACCAATTTTAATGCTTTGATTGGAGAGAGAGACATTAAGAGATAATCTATTCTTATATAATAAGGTGTACCATTTACGAAATTTAGTAAATTGAAAAGTCAATGCAATAAATGCATTACTATTTTGAGCAACATAATATAATATCACAAGAATGCTAAGGAGGCAACAGTTGGTTCCGTTATGGAGCCAACATCCAATGGGATAGCTCCATATGGGGCTGTCCCACATTAAACCATGTGGGACAGCCCCACATGGAGCTATATTATTGGATGTTGGCTCCATAACGGAGCAAACTGTTGGCTCCTTAGAAGATTCTATTTACTACATTTACTATCCAGAAAAATCAACTGCATTAAATACCATTACTATTTTGGTATTATAATATTTTATTTATTTAATTAATTTATTTATTTGTTTTATTTTAAAAAGGTAAGTATAATAAAAAGATTTTAATAATAAAAAAATCAAATATCAAATAAAAATGTACACTTTGACTTATTTGATTATATTTGGTATTTGATTATACCAAATCTATACTTATATAATAAGGTGTACCATTTACGAAATTTAGTAAGTTGAAAAGTCAATGCAATAAATGCATTACTATTTTAAGCAACATAATATAATATCAGAGCATCTCCAATGCTCAAATGTAGTTGTATTAAATTACACTCTACATTAACAAATTTAGTCATTTATCTACTTTTAATCCTCCAATGCACAAAGTTAACACAAATGTAGTGATGAGGTGGACATATTAAATGTATACAATGTAGAGAAGAATGTGGTTCATCCACATTCTCTTTCACATCCTAGCCAACCAATAGAGAGAGGTGAGAGAAATATTATTACCATTTTCAAAATATCTAATTATTTAATTTATTTTCTTTCATATTTATAACTTTTTTTATTTTGGCCAAGTGGACAATATTGTGTTTGATTACATTGTGCATTGGAGATAATTTTTTAGATTTAAAGTTGTGAACTTAACAATTATCTTATGTGGTTCACAATCCATCTAAAAAATTGACATTTGTCAAAATTTATGTAATAACAACATTCAAGCATTGGAGATGCTCTCATATCTATACTTATATAAAAGGAGATTCTATTTACTACATTTACTATCCAGAAAAGTCAACTGCATTAAATGCCATTACTATTTTGGTATTATAATATTTTATTTATTTATTTAATTGATTTATTTATTTGTTTTATTTTAAAAAGGTAAGTATAATAAAAAGATTTTAATAATAAAAAAATCAAATACCAAATAAAAATGTACACTTTGACTTATTTGATTATATTTGGTATTTGATTATACCAAATATATTCCTATTTAGTATATACATTAAATACTTACTAAAGTATTTATTTGTTTTATTTGTCAAAGTTAAGTATAGATTTGTTTATATTATCAAATCATAAAAAAATATTAAATTCATATTGTAAAAAAAAAATCATATAATTTTATAACAATTCTACTACACTATTTAACAATATTCTTTTTTTGTAATATAATAAAATAATAATTAAATATTATATGGTGAACAACAATAAGTAAAACTGTTACTTTCTCTTATATCAAGGGATAAATTTATATGCTAAAATTAAATTTTTATTAGTATAAATGTTTTAGTGAGATAATATATTAATTATTTTTACAAGCTAGCTCTAACATGCTCGTATTTAATATTTTAAAAGATGTAGAAAAAAAACTTATAATAACTCTATTGTTTTTTAGACTTAAACGTTGATTAAAGGAGGTAAAAATTCCTAATTTTTTAGACTTAAACGTTGATTAATACCATAGATTGAGAGTCTATATTTAGTAAAATTCCTAATTGTAATAAAAAATTAATTTTTGCTATATTTTAGAATATCTCTAAATTCATTATAAAAAAAAAAGAAAAAAAACTAAAATGAAAAAAGCAAGTCAGCTATATATCGATTTGTTGTACTCCTCAAATCACATTCACAATTTGGCTAAAAGGAAAGGAAACTACTTGATTAAAATATTATTTTGTCAGTAGTCTTAATGTACAAGAGACTTTAAGACTCCACTTGAATATTATAAAACTTTTATTGAACCTTGTACAATTTTCTTGCGTATTATAAACTTTTATTGAATATTGCATCTTATAATATAATATTCTCCAAATAAATATATCTCGTGCTTCGCACGGGTCACGTACTATATATATCCCGTACATTTTTTTTTATTCATGTATATAATTATAAACCTGGATAACTAGCCTTAAAATTGTGCACCCCGTGCATCGCACGAGATCTGTACTAGTTATGTAGCATGTGTGGAAATAAAAATCTTTATTTGCAATAGAGTTGGAATGAAATAAATCACTTAGCATATATAATTGGTAGATAAAAAATATATTGTGTGCATTTGTGTACTTTAGCCGAGAGTTTTTTGCTTTGCCGAAAGTAAAATATAGTACATAGTGAATATTAGTGATATTACATATACGGTTTTGCTATGGAGCCATCGGATGGCTCGGCTTATGGAGCCATCCATAGTTATCCACAAATGGTGTATTGACACATTATGGATAGCTCCATAAGGGAACCATCCGATAGCTCCATAGCATTTCTGATTACATATATACCGCTTCTTATGGTGTTTCGACCAGTCTTCTAAAAAGGGCATTGTGTAATGTATTGCATTTTGATCTGTATGTGGTGTAGGGTAAAACTGTAAATAGTATTGCGTATTGCGTAAGTTATGTGGGTCGAACATGGATATTTTTATCTAATAAAATATTGTACAAATTCATATACAACAAAAATAAATTATTAAGTAACATAAAATAATTTAATATTAAATACTTTATCCAAATAATAACATTGAAGGATTATTCCCGCAAACATTTAAAACAATACCTTAATATAACTATTAAACAATAAAACTCATAAAATCTGATATAAGCTATCACAATATAACGATACAAGTCATTAATTTAATTTAAAACTTTTAGGTTTAAATCAATATTAAATTATGACCCTAATATAATAGAAAAAATAAGTTTATAATAATATTTTTTTAATACTACCTGGAAATACCATATGTATTGCATGTCTATCGAATCAAATATTAGCTCGTGAATTTAATTTCATTGGGACCATCCAATTAAACATAAGACCAAAAATTGAAAGCACTTGATTTAATTTTATGGATGATGCATTTAATTTGGGCAGGCCAGTGAATTAACTAAATTGAACCGCCCGTGACCCGAAAACTCTGCTTTTCACTGTTGATCCAAAATTCTGCCTTCTTCACCTTTGATATGCTCTCCAGCACCCCAGATGGCGACACGTGTCCCATCACGGTCACCCTCTTGCTCTCAAGATCAATGCTGAATGACGTCACCCCTTACAAAAATTTAAACCATCTATAATTATTAAAGGACACGAAAAGGAAGATATTAGCTATATCATAAATCATAACATTCCTCGCACCATGCTTGCAATTGGATATAGAATTTTATTAAAAATATTGTTTTTTTCCAAAATATAGAAAACAAATTGAAACAAAATTGAAAAGGTGGAATATGTTTTGGACTTTAAGAATAATAAAATATTGATTGATACTAATTAATAATTATAAATATCTGAATAGATGTATACATGCATTATAAATATTTATAATGTGAAAAATCTAAATTTAGTTTTCTTAGTATTTGTCCTATTACTTATCCATGATCCTCGACCTAAGAGCATTCGATCCTACCGATGACTTTACTGCAATTATCGAGCTTTTATTGTACCCACACATCTGTGTAATGATC